AAAAAAAAAAAAAAGAAAGAAAGAAACTTACCTGTTTTCAATATTGATATCAGATTGCATCTGGTGGTAATTTTTAATGCTTGAACAGGACTGATCTAAGTCCTTTAAAGATAAAAGTTTTAATGTGAACCCAACCCTATAAGATGAAGAAATCCCCTTTAGTCTGCACTCAGCAGGGATACTTTTCCAAGATCAGGATCTTATTATAAATTGTTACCACCTTCTGCCTTCCTTTTAGATGTCTATTTTATAGGAAACCACATTCATAACGTCACTGAGGAAAATGTGTTAATTTGGTGGACAATATATCTAATTTCTATCATTGAATCAATTTTTTTTATTGTCTGTGATAGAAGCACTAGTGTCTAATTAGATGAAAAGGAAAAAATAGATCTAGCATACTCAAACATTCAGAGAAAATGAAAAATAAACAAGAAACTGCTTGTGAGTCATCAAAAAGTCAATGTTATAAACAAGGCATTCGCTTCTTTCTTCTCTACTAAGAGATTAAAGAATCAACTGCAATCAAAACTTAGGTTGACACTAAATGGATCTTGCTGTGGAGTTTTTAAAAAGCATAAGATATTCTTGCAACGAGAGGGAAAATTTGAATGTGGACTCAAGGCTAGATGATATTAAAACGTTTTTTATGATTAAAAAAGTATATATATAATTTATTAAATGATAGCTGTGTACATTAATGCAATCATGGGGTACAGTGTGGTGTTTTCATATACAATTTGAAATATTTTCATCAAACTGGTTAACATAGCCTTCAGGTCATTTTCTTAGTTATTGTGTTCAGATGTTTATATTTAAAATTTTTTAAGCTTGATAAAAGCACAGATTGTCATGCTTTAAATAATTAAAACTTGAAGAATTTAAGCAGAAGCGTTGAACCTTTTTTTCTTTTTTCTGCCACATGTTGGAGGAAGAGTTGTCTCGGGCCACACGTTAAACACACAAACACTGACGAAAGCTGATGGGCAAAAGAAGGTCCCTGCATAATTTTCTCACCATCTGACACCACAGACGAGTAAAAAAGGCTTCAAATAATCCGCATGTGGCCCTTGGCTGGTTTGGACACCCCTGCATAAAATAGAGGGACAAAGTGAAGACCTTTTTTTTTTTTTTTTGCTGTTTTTTGGCTGGGTCTGGGTTCGAACCTGCCACCTCTGGGATAAGGGGCTGGTGCCCTACTTCCTTGAGCCACAGGCGCCACCCAAAAAGTGAAGATCTTTTAAGAAAACTACTGTGTGTGAAACGTAGACGGAATTATGGGGAAAAGCAAGAGAAAGTTAAAAGTCTAGAAGAAAGCAAATGCATCTGTCACGTGCAGTTGGATAGCGGACCACACAGACAGCGGGAGCAGGCTGTGATTGGGTGGGGGGAGGTGTGCCCGGCCCCCAAATACAGTCTTTAACAAGTGATATAGTTTCTCTGTAAGTTTATTTTCTATGTTATTCAAGCTATTTTGAATACAAAGCATGTTGTAATTTTTTCACTTTTGACTTGTTATTAATATCAAGATTCATGTAAGAGACTAAAAACGGTCCATAGTATCTTCTCTTTATTACATGAAATTACATTCCACGTACCCAAATATGTTTATGTAACATTACTACTGTATGACTGAAGTGTGTATACAATAATCTTTGTTTAACACGTGCAGAAATAGTAAAAATGTCTGAATATAATCCTTGGCGCCTTCTAGGGGAACGGGTATATGAAATGAGGAAAACACAGTCTGTACACGTGTGTGGTCCATGTCCACATCAACTATTTGTCACTTGACAAATTGGAAATCCTTTAATGATGCCGTTTTCCTCCTTGTTAAAATGCCAGCTGGTTGCTGGACTTCCCTCTGTGGCATTCACTGCAGAGTTGGCAGGCCAGCTCTGAATTTTTATGTTAGATTTTGTTCTTCTATAATCCATGTATATTTTATATGGTCCAATAAAATTCATTAGATTAATGTGATTTTTTACATAAGCCTTTAAAATATTTAATACTAACTCTTCTACCAAATACACTTGAGTGATAATTACTACTGAGCTTGTTATTCTGGTCATGATCTGAGACAACTAAATACACACATAAAATCTCTCATTGAGGAAAGAATGTTTAAGCTTGATGAATCTAAGTTTTCAGCGTTACCTTATAGTTTGTTTTATAGATGAACAGTAAGTGATTCAAGATCCGGGGGGCGGAGGGCGGTGGACTGAGGAACTATTAAGGAAGTTTCAGCTATTGTTGTTGTAATAATATTTAGGACTTAGAAGTGGAGTCTGATTTTCCCTGCGGAAGTGTATTTCACGGTTACAGAACCTTTGGCTTAGAAGGCTCTGCCCAGGGTGTGCACTGGTGATTATGTCCCTGTTACTGCACACTCCACTTAGCTTCTCACTAGCAAGTGGGGCCTTTATGCTTCTCTTTCCCCACGTGCCTTCTGTACTGTTATTCCTTTGCTTTTATTAAAAAAAATCACTGTTTTGAGGATCCTGGTAACTGATATACCTATAGGTTTCTTCTGCTCCTCATTGTGGTTATCTAATAATAGCCTCTACTTAAGACTTCAGCAAATGGTCCATAGGCATCTTGGCTGCGTGTGCCCGACTCGAGCCAATCACTGTAGCCAGGAGGATGAACTCACAACACTGCATCTCATGTCCTGCCAGTGAGGCTGGGTGGATGAGACTCTAGGATTATCTGTGCAACCAGGATCATGAGTAAAAACAGAGGGACAGTTCTCCAGAAGAAGAGAAGCTAGACAGACACAGCACACGTGCATGTTCGGTCACATCAGGACCTTCTCATCATCTAGAACGACTCCACTTCTAAAGTCTTAAATCCCTGCAGACTTTTATCCTCCCAGGCTTCTGTCTCTTACTCTCAAATAGATGTTCTTTGAGACTCTGCATCTCCTTGGTCTCGTATTTCTGCCCTGCTAGCCCTGCCAGTCTTCACTCTGTCTAGAGCCAGCCTGGATATTATGGTCCATTTCTTTCACCATTCTCTTCTTAACACCTTTACCTCCTGTTCCCTTGACTTTCTGGCCTCAACTTTGAATTAATCCCAACCACCAATGTTTCGGGAGATTTTCCTGCCCCACTGAATGAGGCTGAAGAAAATCACATGAAATCACAGCTAAGTGGCATCCCAAATTCGTGTCCTTTGATCTCACTAAAGCCTTCTGCACTGACTGGTAAACCTGCACTGTTTTCCCTGGTAGATCTCACTGCCATTTTCCAAAATGACTATTACAAATATTCTTCCTTCCCTTAAGGCTCTTAGCCTTTCTTTCCTCTTCACTCTCAGCCAACAATCTCATCTCCCATTTCACCCAGCAGATAGAAGCCATTACAGCAAACACCTGCAATGCCACATCCAAATGCAGCCTTCTGTGTCTCCACACCCACCCTTGCCTCCTACCCCCTCCTTGTCTCGGGTATTTCCTCTCCCCAGGCACTTACATCCCCAGCACCTTTTCCCCATTCCACTGTTTTCCTGTCTTCCATGTGGTCACCCTCACCTTCATCAGTGGCTTCGTGCCATTGGCATTTAAATCTCTCTCATCTAAAAAATAAATCACTCCTTCTACTCCGTGAGAACTTCTGCTTAGAGCCTCATCTCCTTCCTCATCAGAGCGGGGCACCTGCAAAGTATCCTGCATGTTGTTTTCTTCCCCTCCATTCATCCTGCTCTTACACTTACATTAGCAATTCTTTGTTACTTTTTTTTTTTTTGAGACAGAGCCTCAAGCTGTCCCCCTGGGTAGAGCGCCATGGCATCACAGCTCACAGCAACCTCCAACTCCTGGGCTCAAGCGAGTCTCCTGCCTCTGCCTCCCAAGTTTCTGGGACCACAGGTGCCCACCACAATGCCTGGCTATTTTTTTTTTTTTTTTTTTGGTTGCAGCCATCATTGTTGTTTGGCGGGCCCAGGCTGGATTCGAACCTGCCACCTTAGGTGTACGTGGCTGGTGCCTTAGCCACTTGAGCCCCAGGTACTGAGCCAATTCTTTGTTACTTTTAAGATGCTTCTCTTACACAATCCTTCTGTAACTATTGATCCAGTTAGGCATTTTCCTCTTGAAACATTCTTCTCCATTAGCTTCCATGATTGTTGACATTCAACTCTTTTTTCTCCGACCTCTCTGGGTGTTTGAGTTAGATAATTTTGAGATCCTAATAAACAAAAATGAAATGAAAGACGAATGCAGGAATAAGTATGGATATAAATGTGGGTGGGAATCTCGACCTTACAGGCAGAACTCAATGTGGAATAGTCCATGTCCCAGAAACTGGAACATGGCTAATTGTCTAAGAGCTGGAGGGATATACACAGGGCACAGAGTGGCGCTGGTGTCTGGGTCCTCTTATTTTTCCCACAAATCCAAGTTTTTTTGATCTCGTGATGATGCTCAACTTCTCACTGCCTGTGCACCTGCTGCTTCAGCCGTATCCATCATGGTCTCTCCACTCTTCTGTTCTACCTTCTGGGCTTGCCTTGTGCATGTGTTCTGATGCTTCCTGGCCTTTCTGTGTCCTGCCATTTCTTTTCCCACCATTGACTACTTCTGTTCTTTCTTCCCATGTGTCTCCTCTGCAGGGGGACCCGATTGGTTTAGATAGTCACTCTTCAGTATAAGGAATGCCTGTTGAACAGCACTTTTGTACCATGTCACTTTGTAGGTCAATGACAAGTCTGTATATGGGTTGCCCTTGGATCAGGCACCATTTCTGGTTCAGTCCACTGTGGTTGCAGAGTGGGGTCTGTGCCTTGGGTGTGGGCATTCTGTGGGGTCTGTCCTAACTCTCTCCTTCTCACACTTTATACATTCTTCAGTGCATTAGCTGTATGACCTCAGGCAAGTCACTTGTCTCCTTGTGCCTCAGTTTCCTCACCTAAATAGAGGTAATACTTACCTATTATGGGATGAATTGTGTCCCCCATAAAAGATATTGAATTCCAAATATCTGGTACCTGTGAATGTAACCTTATTTAGAAATAGGGTCTTCACCGATGATCAAGTTAAGATCATTTGAGTCCACCCTAACTCAGCACGACTGGTGTCCTTACAAAAGAGAAATTTGAACCCAGAGATAGACACACACATGGAGAGAATGCCATGTGCGATGAAGGCAGACAGTGGGGTGATCTTGGCATCTATAGGCCAAGTATTGTCAAGAATTACAGCAAATCATTGGAAGCTAAGAGAGAAGATGGGACAGATTTTTCCTCACAGTGTTCAGATGGGATCAACCCAACTGATACCTTGATCTGGGACTTCTGGCCTCTAGAATTATGAGACAATACATTTCTGTGTTTTAAGCTACTCAATTTGTAGCTTTAGTAAATTTGTAGAACCTTTTTTTTTTAAAGGCAGCCCTTAGAAATGAATACCCTACCTTATAAGCTTGTTTAAATAATGTATCTAGAAAATATATAAATAAAGTGTCTAGAAAATATCCCAGCACATAGGGAGTACTCAGTGCATGCTAGCACCTGTCATTGTTGTTGTAAATACTTCCAACAAGTTCCATCTGTTCTTGGGGCTTTTAATTACCATCTATGATGGTGCTAATCTTTATTTCTCTGGATCAGATTCCTGTCCTGATCTTCACACCCACGTCCACAGTAGGAGAGTAGGAGAAGACATGTGTGGGAACCGAGCAAAGTAGAATTGAGTTCAAATACAGGCTCCGCTGTATAACTTGGGTAGTTGATTAACCTTTTTGAACCTGTGCACTTCAGGACTGTAGTAAGAGCAACACGAGTATTTTGCTCACAGGGTCTTAGTAAGGATTCTATGAATTGATTATATAATTTGCACAGCTCAGAGCCCGGATGATACACGTGCTCAGTGAATACTATTTTACCCTACTGGTGTCTAAAACCCACCATATCTAGCACTGAATTTATGATTTCTGCCTCTAACGTCTTCTCCCACTTGCCCACCTTTGCCCTCATAACCTACGTCGCTTTTGGGCTTCCTGCCTCAGGGAGTGACTGATATCTGCCAAGATGTCCGAGTCAGGTTCTTGGGAGGGACCCATGACTTCTCCCTGTCTCTCACTCCTGCACTGATAAATCACAAAGCTCTGTCCATTCCACTTCAGGCCTCCTCCCTTATTATCCAAGTCTTTCCTTCCACATTGACACCAGTGTAGTTTACAGCCCATCATAGCTCACCCAGCCTTGACCGTGGTGTTCCTGGAACTAGGGATTTTCCCCTTCCTTCTCCATTGTGGGCAGAGAGATCATTTTTAAGAATACAGATATTGATCCTGTGATTCCCTGCTCTGAGCCCGTCAGCTGTCTCTCCACTTTCTGGGTAAGGTCAGCCTTGCTGGCACGGAGCACGGGGGTCTTCCCTTCTCCTCGCCCTCTAGGAATGCCACGCCTTTCACCAAACAGCATGTGCAGCTTCCCTTGTGCTCTCTCAACCTGCAGGGCTCTGCCGTCGCTGACCCTTTGGACTGTCTGTCTTCCTCTCACTTGACTCCTTTCTGCTTATCCCAGGAACTCTGGTGGGGTGTCACCTCCAGCCAAGATTTTTCTCTGATACCCCAAAGTTGAGTTAGGGAACCCACCTGTGGGTGGGTTATTATAAAGTAGGGAGAGGACTAATAATGGTAATAGCTTAATGATGTCTTATGACTTTTACTTACTGCAATGTTTTCACAGACATTACCTATTTTGATCTACACAATAATAATTATGTGTATTTCCTGAAAACAGAGAGGAGAGATAGAAAGAGAGGGGAGAGAGAAGAATGAATTGGCAGAATTGTGTGGAAGCCCCAGGTGTCTTGACTCCTGGTCCCATGAGTTTTTCATTTTAAAACCTATATACCCCTGGAATTCTTTGGATACTCTGTGGTTAATTCTTGACCTAGCTGAAAGCAAGAAAAAGGATTAAAAATATGCTACTATTCAAGTGGTAATGGCCAATAAATAAAAGTGGAGAGATTGTACTCATTGTTGACCTGGAAATTAGATACAGAGCCTAGACTCATGCTTTCTGGCTCTAAACTCACAAAGTTCTATTTGAAAAACAAGCCTACCTGGAGTAACTGCTGAGTGGAAGATGGATTTTGTTGTTACTATGACGCTGAAAGTCATTCACACACTCAAAACATACTTTCCCTGTTTTCCTATAGGGTGGGACTGAATGTCCTCCCAAGGCATCCGGGAAACCGTGAAGGCCTGACAGAGGCAGATGCTTGTCTGAGTTCTGCAGCAGATGCTGTGGCGAGCCCCAGCTCCCCCTTAGGGCTGAAACACTCACTCTCCAGCTGCCCAGAGCTGTTGGCTCCTGGCAACCCGCAGCTGAGTCCTGCCAAGGACTCACCCTCAGATGAAGGGAGCTATCTCATCCTGGGCCACAGGCCCTTTCCAAGGGCAGCTCTTATCCCGAGACTGGTCGATGAAGGGATTACAGGGACCTGGCCCTCTTCTCTCAATGCAGGAAAGGTCATCTGAGGGGTGACTTCAGCTTCAGAGTCCTCATCCTCATGACATTGGTGGAGGCCCCTGCTGTAACTGCATCGCAGGGCCGCTGTCTCCCCTGCCGATCCTGCTTGCTTACTTTTGGCAAGTTTTGTTCCCAAGTGTGCAATGCGACTAACCTTCTACATACAAATCTCCATTTCAGAGTCTTCCAGGGAACCTGAACAAGACAGACTCGTTCATTCTCCTTGTAGCTCGTTATGAAGATACGAAGCCATCCTGTTAACTTCCTCATGTGGTTTTATCAGTCAGTCCACAGGGACTTATTGATCACTTGCTGCTACAGACCCACGAAAAACGAAAACAAGAGAACACAAATATCTGTGACTTATAATTACTCACTCGTCTGCGTCTCTTCAGAATTCTCCATGGGAATTTATAACTAGGTTCCAGTATAAGGCTGAGATCCAGAAGAAGATTTGTCTCTCTCTCTCTCGGCAGTTGCAGCAGGGTACAGGGCCAGGACAGGTGCTACTTCTAGTAGCATAGGCGAGAAGGGATGTGGTATAGTGTGTTAAGTGGCTTCAGGAGTGATATTCGGGCTAAAGAAATAGACTTGAGGTGGAACTTTCCCCAGCAGTTCCCAATGGCACACCACAGAACTAAGCCACAAAGAGAGTTGCTGCTACCTCTCTGATTGGAAAGCTGGTGGGTCCAGAGTCACACTGATACCACCATGGTCTTGAAGCCGCTACTTTCAGGGTGCCCCCCCCTGCTGCTGATTCCAGAGCCTCACTGCACCTGCTGCTGTCCGAGCCAGGATATGCGTGCCCTGTGCCTTGCCTTTCTGGACCCAAGAATCTAGTGACCACAGGCTAGATGTGCTCCTAATGATGGCACAGAGAACCAGGAGTGTCCACCACATGCTGTGAACAGGAAGAGCTGTGGCAGTTAAGAGTGACCACTGCCACTTTCCAGATATCACATTGAAGCCTCTGAGTGGCCGTACCTTAATTACATATGTAGTCTTTCCCCAAAGGATTCCAGAAGCGTCGTACCGAGTCTCTTAGTGTTGGAGGTGCAGGAAGCTCTGCTGGGAGAGTGTTTTGCCAACTTTTGACACAGTCTATGGTCACATTCACTTTGCACACACATCCACAGAGTCATCTGCATGCCTTCCTGGAATAAAAGATTCTCAAGACCATATGAAGCCTCCAAATGGTTTCTATTCTAGTGCGGGCTATGCAGTGCCATGTCACTCTACGCTGCTCCATTCCATTAAGAAATGCCGGCCTTGACGCACTAAGTTGATTTCTTGATGGACTAATGGATGGTAACTGGCAGTTTGCAAGGAAAAAACCCTTCACTATGAGAAGGGGGAAATGGATGTTGAGTGCCAATCCACAACGGCCACTATTCTAAACTGCTCCCTTCTTTGTCCCTGAATTAACAAAAAGGGTTTGAGGCTGTTCACAGAAGGGACTTAATAATGTGATATCGTGGACAGTGATCGGGAGAGCAGCTTCTAGTTCTTGGAGCAGCAGTTTCTCCATTTGTGGACGAGAGTGTTGTGATAGCTCTGTGTTGTAATGACCCGATTGACATCTACTTCGTAGGCAAACTGACGAAAAGGGTGATCACTCTGCACCTTGTAATTTTTGCTAGAGGATGGATTAAGCTCTCCAGGCAGCAGTCATGGCAAATGCATTGTAATGTGCTTTTGGGATCGACTGTTGTACCCCTAAAAAACATTAGTCAGCTTTAAGTCCACTACCTGGTTTTGTACGTAGGTGTAAAACCTAACGGTTAATTCTAAGGGCAGGGCAGAATATATTGAATGTGAAATGCATGATTAGTTCACCTACCCCGTGTCTGGAAGGCAATTGTTAATTAATTACACTGTTAACACTTGTTAAGAATTTAATTCCTTAATGTAGAGCTTTTAGGTAAAGGCTTACATTTATCAACGATTGAGGCTTTCAATAAGAACTTTACACCGAGGCAGCACAGGTTTGGAGGTAATTGGCTTGAAAAAAGAAAAGCAGAACAAATAAACATTTGACAATTTAACAAACGTCTAATCTGTGCTGAACGGAGTGCCAAGCATTTCCGCTTACAGTGACTCATGTAGTCCTCACAACAATTCTTAATGGAGAAATTATGATTCTCATTTCTACAGATGAGGAGAAAGGTCTTGAAGTGATTAAAAGAGGCTCACCGAGGTTGTTAAACTAGAAAGTGGAAGAACATGGAATTTGCATTTAATTCTGGACGGGTCACAGCTGCGGGGTCTCCTACTGTACCAGACTGTCTCTGTCACCTTCATTGCTTGTTCAAGGTGAACCTAAGTGAAGAAGAAAACAACCCCAAGACAGACTTTCTCAGCAAGACTGTAATTTTTATGTTCTGGATCAAGAGACATAAAGGGGCCCAGGCTGCCTGTTTCATATTAAAGCTTCCCAAGCCATGTTTTGCTCTTTATAGGACCTTGATATTTAAGAGCAATAGAGAATTGAAAAGATAATTTGTAGGCATTATTTCAGGTGCATTTCTCCCTTCCCTTCCCTTCCCTTCTTTCTCTCTTTTTTCTTTTTCTTTTTTTTCTTTTTGCTTGTGATAGTGTTTAAAGGAACTGAAAGAATTTGTGTGAAGAACAGAAATTTTGTGTCTCCCAACATTCAAATGTTAAAGCCCTAACCCCAAATGTGATCATATCCAAAGGTGGGGACTTTGGGAGGTAATTAGGTTTACAGGAAGTTGTAAGGGTGGAGCTCCCATGATGGAATCGGTGCTTTATAAGATAAGAAAGAAACTGAGGCTTGTTCTTCTTTCACCATGAAGAGACAGCAAGAAGCCATCCCCCCTGCAAGCCAGGAAGAGAGCCCCCACCAGAGTAGGGCTGCACGGCACCCCGGTTGCTGACTCCCCAGGAAGGGAGCCCCCATCAGAGCCCAGCTGCGCGGCACCCTGGTCTTAGACTCCCAGCCTCCAGAACTGTGCAAAATAAATTTCTGTTGTTTAAACCACCCAGTTTATGGTATTTTCTTATGCCGCCAAGGCTCGTTGGACTCTAATCTGAACTTTGATAGCAAGCAACAGAAAATATTCCCGTAAACACTTCCATGTTGTGGATGTAACACAGCGGCCTGTTGTGTATGGTTGTAGTAATGTGAAGAATACTGAGCTTGTAAGATCTGTGCAAAAAAAAAAAAAAAATCTATGCGTGTTTATACTATTTCAAATACTTGACTCAATGTTGTTTTTCAATTTTCCTCTTTTGGAAAAAATGCATATGATTAAGTAAAATATTAGGCCAAAAAAACACAGTTCTCTGTGATTCTTCACTCATGCAATTTGATTTGATTACCCTTAGGACAGAGGCTGAGCTGACATGCATCCTGGTAGGGTACATAATATGTAACTTTGGGGGGCACGAATCACATTTTTTAGGCTAAGCTAAATTTATTTCTTCTTTGTAAGCTAATAGGTAATCTACATGGTTCTGTTGGTAGTTCTCAGAAGCTACCTCCACAGAGATGGTCTGTGGTGAATTTTGAGACAATAGTAGTTTCCAAAACAGTTCCAAAACCCCACTCACTCCTAAGCTTAATAATAATAGCTACCCACTTGTTTATGTACCAGAGACTGTGTTGAGCACTTTGTGAACTTTATCTAATTTAATCTTCCCCTAAATCTTTGAGCAGTTGGCAAACGCTGCAATAGCTTTGTTTTAAAGCTAAAAAAAGCCCCTAAGAGAGAAGTGACTGGTGTCAGATCCCAGGGCTGGCTGTTCTGACCTGTCCTGGGTCTCTGTCCTGTGCTATCCTTCTTCCTCTTTGGAACAGCTCATTTCCAGGCCCCGAAGACAGGTGTCTGGCCGGGTTGTGTCCTGTCTTACACGAGAGTGGAAACTGCTCTGTTGTAGGTGTCCCCCAGGGACTCAAAAGTCTAGGTGACTTGGACAAGGAGGAAAGACGTCTGCCAAGCAGCGATTTCAGTGTTTGTAGGGCCCTCTCTGATGTCTTGGTTTGGGGGTCAGGCTGACTGACTTCCCGTTAATGTTAAGGCTTAGTTCTGAGAGCCATGCCATTTCACTGCAGTGCGGCCCTCTGCACCTTTCTGTTCAGGACCGTGGGTGTTAACGGCTTGGCTTCTGCCATCGTACTCACTGGACTCTAATCTGAACCCACTTTTGCTATTAGCTTCCATCTCTGGGTATCAGTTCTCTCATCTATAAAATGAGGATCAGGAATGGTACTAATCTTCCACAGCGGGTAGAAGGGCTAAGTGACATCACAGATATGAAATGCTTGGTCCAGTTCCTGGCATGTCATCACGTTTGTTTGTATTAGTTATTATCCGTGTTGGGCCCTTTGTCTGCCCAGTCAGGTTTTTATATTTAGCGCCTTTGCTGCTGGATGAAACCTTTGTGATGGAATGCTGATGTTTCTCTTCCCTCTGGTATAGACTGTTCTGCGGCTGTTCCTCTGTGAATCGTGCCTCCTGGTATCGACGCCCTTGTGTGTTCTTTCCTCCACCCACACTGACTCTGAATTTGGCCATGTGCCTTTCTTTGAGCGATGGGACATCAGCAAGTCTTCTCCAGGCAGAGGTTTGGTGAGCCCCTGTGCACTGGGCTTGCCCTCTTGGAACACAGATGCTGCACAAGAAGACCAGACAAGGCGAGTCTTCTCACAGAGAGGCCCTAAGACCACCTGCAGAGAGAGGCCCAGTGGGGCCCACCCTGAGCCAACTGAATGCAACCACACCGGGGAGTCCAGTCTTGAACAGAGCTGCCCAGTCAACCCACAGAATCATGAGAAATAATACATCGTTGTTGTCTTTAACCACAGATTTTTGATTTACTATGGAGAATAGATGACTGAAATTCCCTCTGTAATGTCTGGGTAATACTGTATGCGTAAGATACAATATTATACCAAAGCACAGCTGTGGGGAAAGAGAGGCGCTTTCGAAGAGCTCAAAGCTGCACAGCCGCATCAGGGGCCCACGTCTCATTGCCAAGGTCCTTCTGAACACACCCCGGGAGCTGCCAGGTCTCCCACCCGATGGGAAAGCCAGCACCAGGGGCTGTTGGCTATGGAAACATGAAAGAGACCTGCACAGGCACTCCACTGCCTTGCCACAATAATTGCCACTCGCATTTCTGTTGGCCAATAAAACCAGTGTTTACAACAGAAAAACAAGATGATTTATATTTGTAGAAATAAATGTTTTA